AACAGTACCTGTGTATTTACGTCTGCGTTTGTCAGTATACTAAATATAACACACAGTTTGCATGCACACATAACAGAAACAAAAATGATGATTTAAACTTCCGGTATAAACTAGTACTCGGTATCTCAGCATAATGGTACCCGCGCATTCAAATTTGTCCACACTGCGCACGATATGCACCAGTTTTTAAAACAGCTCACCAGACTCGTCAGTTTGACTCGTACTGGACTGTACGAGAGAGACGATCTATTCCAGAGAAGAAACATGTGGACTTGAGGGCGTACTTTATTCGAGCAGACTGGTAACTTTTTCTTGGTAGAACATTGTCTGTCATACAGTGGCATACACTACGCATACAGTAGTCAGACACGTGTTGAAACATGTGACGTCATACGTTGACACACACCATATTAATAGTTACATGTAATTAGTTAGTCTGACACGTGTTCTTTGCAATGCGTCAAACTTGTATTATTATTTTTTTAAATGACTCGACATGGAAAAAAAATCCCGACCATTTCCGCTTCATTGGTGAATAAATTATTACTCCATTGCAGATCACGATAACAGAGTGGACACAGCGGGTAAAGCAATCATCCGCGCACACTCATTGAAAATACAATTTAAAGAGGACCAGGTTATGAACAGATACATGTGGGTTGATTTACGTTAGTACTGAACCATTGTTCTCGTGGGGATGTCGGAATTGAAAAGTAAAAAAAAAATGACCTGCACAAAAATTGTTTCAAATAAATAATAATCATAATGAATAACAAGCACAGTACATTTACATAATGTAATGAACGAGGGTGCACTTTGCAATTTGTCAACAACTTAGCAATATGCCTGCCCGGGTTAAAAATAAAAAAAAAACGACCATCGAGAATTATTTTACTGCAAATAAAAAAAAATAACTGGCGCCTTTTCAGAATCGTGTTTATACATGAATTACGCGGCTAACAAAAAGGTATTTCTCATTTATCTCACATTTCATACGAACATGCACCATTCAGAAACTAGTGAAGTATATTTTGACACAGTAGGAGACTTTTGTATGTACCTATTTGATTCAAGTCTGGTATTGTCGAGACGCACACGAATAGAAGCACCGTGTCATAATATCTATCACCAAAACAATTAGTTTTAAATAAAAACTCCACGACTCAAATAGAATGAGTATTTTTTGTATAATTCATATTTTTGATCATGCCATGTCATGTTAATACATGTTACTTGACATGCGCATAATGGTTTCCTGCTGGTGAAATAACCGAACTAGGGTCGGACCATTAGAAACTTTGAGGGCGATGGCAGAAAAACGATGCAAAATATTTTTTCCTTCACTCAGTTTTGTGATTTTATTTCAATGATGAATTCGCAGTATTTTTATTTCCTCTGTGTGTAATATTTTTCCCTAATAAATGGGCGTGCAGATTTTTTGTTTTTGTTTTTAAGGCTATGAGACTTTTTTCCACACAAATTAGACACATATTTTGGGACTTTTTCACATAAATTGCACCCTTGTTTAGATCTCTTTTTCACATAAATTGGACATTCATGAGTAAACGTCTTGAAAACAAATGATCTATCTGAGATTTTATTGGAACGGGAGCACGAATCACAAACAACTGCCAAATCGAATTTCTAAGATCTTTTAATTCAGACATTTTAAATGTCTCATTTATCATCTTCATCGTCAGTATGTAGTTCCCCAGTTGTTACATCGAACCGAGTAAAGAGTGAAGTTTCGACACGATTGAAAAAACTGCCATGACGCATGCACCCGAAACTACAACATAGAGGGCGTTATCAACATAACAGTTACAGTATGCACGTGTGTTTGTGTTTGGTGAAATAGCAAGCTCGCCCTCATTTAAATTACTTTAGTTAGGCACTTCAACAACTTCAATGATATATCGCCAGCCAATAAAGTGGAACTTAAAGTGTTACAAGTGCTTGCTACCCCTGCTGTCAACGATTCAATTTCTTCTAGTTAGGGATGAACCATTGTTTATAGTAAGGGTGGCCATTTTAGAGTTAATTTATTATTTGTGGATTTATGATAACTGAATTTTTATTAATCAGCTTTTGCATATCACTGTACTAGGTTCTAGATTTAATTTCTTGTTTGTTTTGCAATAACCATCTTTATGCTCTGCATCATGTTTTTTCAGAAAACATTTTTGTATTAATCTTTTAAATCCTACAGCCACAATTTGAATGCAAAACAGAAAATAACTGAAGGTCATACTATAAAATACTGAATTCTATCTGAAATTAACTTTTGCTGAAACATAAAATTTCACTTTATGAGTTGAATGTAAAATATAGGAAAAAAAGGGATTTTTGCTGGAATTTATTTTAACAGGATGTCCTTAAAGCGAAAATAGCAAAAATTAAATCCAACTGAAAATAAAATCTATTACAGTAAATGCAAATGAACCATAATGGTCACAAAAACTGTATTTGCTCTATTAGTAGTACATGTGTTTACGTAAGGTACAGATGTGCTCCTATTGTTTTATGATTCAATATACATTTTGTACAAGTGCGATTTTTGGTTTATCTGTGGCTTTATTGGAGACACACTTTAGAATCACTTAGAGCAGCTATCAAACTTGTGATATATGTGGTATATATTTTAAAACATCTTTTAACTTCTTAAATGCCACAGTTTTTCTTACCAAACAAACATTTGGTTCAACATTTTGTAAATTGTTTTGTATTTTTCTATTACATGTATTTCTTTTGTTAATATTACCGTACACCAAATTAACATTACCGTTATTTTCTAAACGTTTTGCTATTTTCTTTTTAAACATAGAAAAAATTATGTGACTTTTTTTTTTACCAAAAATGATAAAGAATGCATTATAGTTACACATGCAATTCATTTTTCTTGAGCTAGAAATATGTATGAGATTTTCACTTAAATAGTTTGACTTTCAGCAGCCACCATTGATTTATGTCATATGTTTATATAAATCTTTGTGCTAAATTATGTTACAGTACTATTGACACAACAAACCCATTTCTTTCATAATAATAGCAGCTGAAAGCATTCCAGTGTTATTCCAATCGATGAATAGAAACCTTACTTTTCATTTTTTTCAATAATAAAAATGAAAGAAGTATATGACATGTAATTATGTAGGATGTTTCACTCTATGTGATACATAGTTAGTCAGTCCTAATGGCACAAATAGTAAATTGATCTATAGACATAAAAAGTTACTTTTTAGTAAGAAACTGTGAAAATATTGGGTCAATGTCATCTATAGTTAAGAATTTGATATTAGGCATTCTAAGGTGAAGTCAGACTTCAGGCTTGATTTGTTACCTGTAGTATCTCAGTCACAATGGCTCATAAAATGACTTTAAGTGTCCCATATGGTTTAATGTCGCATAGTGAATAATGTTTCAGTTGACCTTTCTAGAGGTATACCAGGTTGACTTGTTGATAGCAATTTGTATATTATTACTTACTACTCTATGTTGTGTGGGCAGCATGCATAGGTTTCGCACCTGTAGTGTATTTTGTGTGGGACAGGTCAGGATAGTAATGACGCTAATCCATCCCTGCCCCTTCTTAAAAAATTACCACTTTCTTGAACCATTACCACTTTCTTTTTAGTTCATAAAGGATAATCAAGAATATTTAAAAAAATGATAAAAAAAAATAACATACACAATATAAAGATAAACAATTGTTTATTTTTCTAAATTTACTTAATTTCTTAAAATTCATGTAAAACTGTACAACGTTCCACATGGGGAACAAACATTAGCAAATATAAACAGTGCAAAAACAACAACTTTTGCTCCTACAAATGCCGAAACAACTGAAGATGAATGAACGTTAATTGGCTATAGAAAATAATAACATTGTCAAGTTTTTGGTTATAAATGTAAAATGTTTATCAGGTTTTGGTCATTTTAATGACAATATTGGTTGTAAGAATTTTAGTAATTTATATCAAACATACCATACCAAGGCCAGTATGCAAATACCGTATTAGCTGCATTAGAAGGGCATCTCAATCAGAAGTACACATGTACATATGAACAGAAAATATTAGTGCATTCTCATTTAGGACAGAATCATAATTTACCATACTCCGTATAGAAGTATGATAGGGGCAATCTTATTACATCACCAAATTGACAGCTGAAAGAAACAACCTAGTGTTCATTTCAACTTGTATACACCAACAATAAGGGACCTTGTGCATTAACCCTTATCCTGCCAGCTCCCTGTACTTTCACATTGACTTGACCAGATAAGGGTCAATTGTATAAAAAATCTAGGGGTAATATGACCAATATATTTTACATGGTCATTATTGAAAATAAGGAGAAGAGAAAAATGCCATTTTGTAAATGAGAGCATTCAATACACTTTTAGTGTCAAGTTTAACACCATATGTAATTTGGAGTTTTTACATGGATTTGTGATAGGCTGAAGAATGTGCGTTCCCTCAAAATGTGACAATTTTTAGCAAACATATGCGCTTTAATTAGAAATAACATGGTAATGTGACATCATTATCAAATGTTCTGTTGAGGAGAAATTACTTGTATCTACAGTATGCAACATTTGTTGCACATACACAGTTGCACAGTTTTCAACATGTTGCATTTATCATCAAGACTGTGGTTTTGTGTAAACTACAAGCACCTTGATTAGTTCCTGCAAACATGCATTAAACTTGTGCTTCATTTATTGAACTGTAATGTTGGCATTTTTACCACACACATATGAAGATATGTAAATGAAGGAATAGCTTGGTACAGCACTCTTTGCAAAGGGCAAGCTCAGTACAAAAAAAAAGATATTTTTCACGTCTTCACTTGTGAAACTCATGTAGTGTTTCTGATGCAGTTCTCATGATGGTGCTCCAAAAAGATTTTCAATATATTACTAAGAAACATGCAAGCCCCTAACTTTATTAACCCTTAATTTATTATTTAAGTTAAGAGGACACTGCTTCTATGCTGGGTTTAACATCAATATTTCTCTCCATAACTCTATTATTAACCATAGGGTGATCCAGTGCCAATACAATCAGTTTGGCTGCTCAGATTTATATCACTAACTTTCTGAAAGTTGTGAATCACTCACTGCAGATCTGTAGAACCAACTGCGCATATCGGCCATTTTCTCAGGTTCTGACTGTCAAACCCTGACATTTTAACCACCATTCAATCACCTGACATGATAAACACCCTTTCACATACTGAACATGCCTATCAGCAGAAAAGTTATTTTAGGAAACAGTTTGGAAACTTCTTCAAAATCAACATTGGTGCGATGAAGTGATGAAAACATGAGCGAATAAAACTGCATGTACTTTAGAATGACATAATGGTTCTTTGTATTCAGCAAACAAACAGAGCAGAGTTGTGTGTAGGACATGTACATGGATTATACTCATGCACATAGCTGGACGGGACTTCTTTATAACAGGCAGCTTTCAAATTCCTTTCTTCCTATAGAGGATGAATTCTATGACAGAAACATCATCTTGCCTAACAATTTCAGTTAAATTATTTAATCTTGTTTAGCTTGTTTTGTTTGTCTTTTAAGTTTTCTAGTTCGTTCATATCGTATGGTTTCACATTCCAATGCTGACAGTTCAGCAAGTCTCTGTGTAAAGCAAGGAGGTGCACCACTGATTGGATCCTGGTATTTGGCCACTGAAAGAAATCAAATAAATACAAATTAGTTATCTATAGTGAAGACATAATTGTATTATGTATAATAATCAATGTGGTATTACAGTAAACTTAATTAAAACTACACCATGTGTGAGCTGGAAATCTACATCTAACACCATAAACTTGCATATATATTATAAATTACACCAAATATCTTGATGAAGCCAACCTTTCATGTTCGTTCTTACAAACCTGTTAATGATCATGTTAGAAAAGCTGCATTTAACCTCAGTTAATTGGGCCAATTAAGGAGTTGGACCCATCAATCAGCATTATTGTAAAATGTTGCATCTATTTCAAATTTAAACCAATAGAATTTGCTGTCTTATATCACGTGATGGCTTTACTGACAAACATACGCGACTTCATGTTTGATTTTCTATGAAAACATGTGACTTTGTGTTCCATTTACCATGGAAACGCATCAAAGCATGCACCATTGTGTTTGCTTTCAGCAACAGTGAATATGACTTATAGTGGGAATAAATTAACATCGACTGCAAAAGCTGTAAACTTTTTTCTCTTCTATCTCATTACAAGATTGTTTATGGATCAATTTTTTGCTTATATGAACTTCTATTAAAGATGAGTGAATAGAGCAAATACGGTATACAAGAGTGTAAACCCTTACTTTTGGATCTGTTCTCTGCAGCCATCGGTGATAACGACGTGGACATTACAGCTCCTTTGCTTTTCGTTCTAGGCGGCGGTGATCGTAATCGAGAATTAAAACAGTCCTTTTGTGAATTACTACTGCCGCCACTGTAACTTAATGAACCTCCTCGCGGAGATGGAGATATTGCAAGTGTTCCCATGGCAACTAGACTATCTGCATTTGTATTGTTCACACGAGAGCTTGACACTGTAGCATCCCGTGGGAAGTAGTTATTTCTACCCGTTGGTCGGAAATAGTTCCTACGAGACATCTCCACTGGCGAGCTTTCATCTCGAAGTACTGCAATAGGAGAAAAATAGCAATTACATAGAGATATCACAGTTCAATATATCCTTTACCCTGTTGTACAGAAAAGTTGAACTCACACTGGAGGATATAAATATTTAGATTGAATTTTTTGTTTTAATCTGAAACATATGTCACATTTCTAGCATGCATAGAACAAATACGGTATTTGCTGCTATGAGGTGTCACGCCAAAGAATTCACAGGGGAAATACCTTATTATTTTCGTAAAATGCTCCATTTATTTTCATATTATTAATACCTCAATGTAATGAAATAATATGAGTTATAATGTTACAATATTTATTAATTACTAATTAATATAACTCTGCAGTGTATTTATTATAAACCATGACATATCATTATCATCAATTCTTCCTCATTATTTTTATACTAAAGAATGTTAAGTGAAATTACATCATAATCAAAACATTTTTTTTCACAATATGTTCACCATTGTCATATTGGCTCTATCAGAAACCCACTTTATATAGATGCACATGGGTGGGATTTACGTTGACAAAACTTGCCCTGATCCATTTATACAGACTAAGTATAGAGCAAATATATTAGTCATATTCACTAAATTGGAAATTCATTAAATGTATAGGAAAACAAATGTTTTATTGTGTTTTCATAGAATCTTACTTCAATTTAGCAGATTTCACCGATTACCTACACTATGCCATATTCGAACCATGTAAATAAATATGTTTAAGTATATATACTCCATATACAGTGAATAACACATCTTACATATTATCTTTGTACTTGTGTTACTTTGACCACAGACCTGCATAGCTACCCAGTAATGCCATACATGTAGTTGACTCATATCGATCTGATAGTGGGGGCAAAGTGACAACCATTTTGATGGATGAGATACTCAGATCAAGAAACAACTATTTCACATATTTTTGAAATACAATGTACTCAGGTATTTAAATATGGCAGTGTATCAAAGTTACATGGTATTTGTTGCAGATTCTAAAGTAAATATGAAAACAAATTTATCAAACTAAATTTTGTTAAATGATTGCTTCGCAAAAAATATAACTGTTGATTGACATACTGGATGAATTATATTAATTGTGGATTGGATTTTGAGAAATTAAATATTATATTATGCAAAAATTTACTGATAGTTAAATCATATTTGTAAAACCTAGATTTTAAAACTACTTTATTAAATCAATAACTACCATTAAGTCTTACTGTATTACATGTATATGTATGAGAAATAGCAACAGTTTTCCAGCAACAATACAATCAATGCTTGAGGCATTCGAAATAGGCAGGTTTAAGGCAACTCGGAACAACCAAGGCGGTGGGGGGTTAACACTGACATGCGTTATCACTCCACAATTCAAACCAACAGCAAACTGGTGATGTAAACTCATGCAATGTATATTGAATAATTGACAGTGGTTTTGATGACGTACTCTCTGTACCTGCCATATGCTGAAAGACACCATTGTAAGAAGGCAGTAATGGTGGCAACACCATCCTCTTAAATCCTAGCAGTGTAAAAATAAACAAGCCCTCTTCATAAATTGTATTTTAATTATAAATGATATTTAGAAGAATTAAAACAAAATATGGTATCTCTGAAATTCATTATCAGTTGCACTGTCTGGTTATGGTCTCAAAATATCACAAAAAAAAAGAAAGAATTGAGAATTGAGTTTTTGACGCTATTTTTACTGCCTTCTATATGTTTGACATTCAGCTTTTCCTTAATCACATGGAATAGACTCAGTTAAAATATGACTGGTATTTCCTAGTTAACTTATAGAGGAGAATTTGTATCAAGAATTCGGATTGGTTGTTTATAGTCTATTCTGATGAATGAACCAATCAGAACTCCCATAACATTATCCACAGATAGGAAATATATTAATTCAGACCTGATTTCAAATTCTGATGTTAACCTAGTTCATTACTACCAGACAGCACACTGATCTTAACACACACACTCGCCCTGCGATGTAAAAGTGGCCGATGTTCATATTTGATCAGTGATTGTGGAAAAAATTTGTGTACCGGTACATGAATACGTAAAAATATGTATAGCAGTGATAATCCAAACTTTATTATCTATGCACAAGAAGTTTATAAGTTTAAGTAAGATTTCGAAAGATAGATATTGTTTCTATATTAAAACAATCAATTTGCTGTGCATCCACTAATTTTTTTCACAGGAGGAAATAGGCATCAGCCAATGACCGAATATAAATATCGCCCACTCTTATTATAAATGCTGAGAGTCATGCTGACACATATACATTGACACTAATAAAATATTAGTACAACACGGGCATACTAAGAGTTATTGCATCACATAGTGTTTGATATGGACCCATGCAATACAAGGTTTGCTCAAATCAGCATGATGTATACCCTTAAAGATATGGGCATTGTATTTGCTCTGTGGAAACCACACATGTGTTTATCTGATACAGTAAAATACAGTTAAAGCGAGAGGGTCGTCACCTGCGCATACGCGGGAATTGAGTCCCAAACGACGATGACAACACACGTTAAAAACGCAAAGGCTCATGGGTAGACGCTTGTTTGTAAACAATGACACGCTATGGCCATCTATGGTTAACACATGTGCTGGTGACATCTCCCTTGCTTTAACAAGACCACTACAGCATGTTTATTTGATGCCATAAAGTACAGGTAACATGACTGACTGACAAAATTTGAGCAAAATACTAAACATTTCCCCTTGTATGTGGAGAATCAGTGATGTGATTTTTTTTTTGTCATGATGTTGCCATGCACCCACAAAATTAACTTTCACAAGTATTTTCTGGAAGTGATCATGCCAATCACAAATAATTCATACTAAAAGATGATAATATTGTAAATGCTTCTAATAGGCGAATTGTGAAGGGTATTTTCCCAGAAAGAATTCATTAATCATTCATTAAGCATAGTTATCAGTATTCATGGTAGCATGGAGAAGACATACTGTAAAACATGTTATTTTAGCCAATCTGTAATTCCGCTATTTCAAGATGCAGCTAATTTAACAGAAAGTATATTCTCACAGGGAGATAGTCGACACTTTAGCTAAATTTAGATTCTGTTAATTCATGCCAAATCTGCTAAAATTACATGCAGCTATTTCAACATGTTCTACAGTATACTATGTGTGATATAAGAGAACAAACTGCTCTACTGTATGCCAACTTTGACCCTAAGACATCTCAGACTGTTGCCTTGGTGATGGCTGAAAAGCTTTCAAGTAATAATAGAACCCATCATATGAAAAAAAATCATACAATTCAAAGCATTTTGAATCCAATAACTGATATTGATGTGGTTTTTCATAACCTGATTAAAATCTGATATAGGTAGAGGAACTGGTAACCAGTGTACATGCCCTCTACATTTGCATAATGAAAAAACATAGGCAGCTCCTAGAATTTGTGATTGGTGAGAGTTAATTGTAACACAGGCTGTGATTGGTTGCTGGTCCCATAACATTTAAATGCGATTTGCATAGCTAATTAGATAAAGATGGCAATGAATTGACAGAAATTAACAGAGCCTTTACCTACAATCAGGTTGAGTTTTAGAGACATAGACAAATATACGTTCTAGATATTTTCAATACATAGGAGTATATCTCCCAACAAATATTTAAATTTCCCACAGAAAGATTTATTCATGATATACCCTCACTTTTCACTTACAACCTCTAAATAGATTTGTATTTTATCTCCAGCTAGAGTTTTAGTTATCACAAGAGATCTGCACTGTTACAATTGTGAACAAGATTTGAAATGCTAAATATTCAGTGTGTCTGATGGTAGGAAAGTGTTTGGATGGATGGCATTGCTTCATCATTAGGGAATAAAATTGAATTGGTTGGAGTATACAAAGTACATATTCCATTTGATGATGTTCTTTTCCTTATCAGAATAAACATTATAGAAATAACAATTTTGGGTCATTACCTAATTCATTGATAGTATAAACTTTGAAAGCAATTACTGTAAAATCTGTTAAAGCTGCGACTTGTATTAAAATGGTACAATGCAATGGAAGGGATGCAGCTTCTATTAGAGCACCTACACATATGAGAAATGATGAATTTTTGGTTCTCAATTATTCAAAAAGAATGGGTGCGACATCTATTAGGAAAGCGGCTTCTAATACAGATTTTACGATTGCAACTAATTATCCATAATTGGTCAGTTATAGTCAAATCTTGATACATTTATTTAGACTTTTTGTAGGCAAGCAGGTAATTTGAACACTGATCTGACAAATCTGGGACAGGTTAACAAACCATAATTTCAACTCCTGTCAACTTCTATGAACTGAGTTGTTTTTGTGAATTTTGAATCAGTGTATATTTCACTGAGATCTGCAAATATATCAAATGCAAATTGTTCTGTAATTATTGTGAATCAAACAAAGTAAGATGTTAGCATCACCTTTAGTATGCCCTGGTGGTTCTGTACTAGTTCTTTTTTCTCTTTCCCTTTCCAATCGTCTTTCAAGATTCCTAAAGTCTTCACTAGATATATGCCTATTGACGTCATTATGTGGAGTATATGATGATAGAAACTCTTGTGTTGAAAATGTAGAATTGGGAGCTGTGGCACTGTAACAGAGCATAATCACTTGTTAGTATGTTATAGTCATTAATTAGGTTAGGGAACTATTATGTCATTGTAGCAAAACAGAATCAGTCACAGCATGTCTGAGACTGACAGATAAATGGTATACAGAGGTAGCAGGGTTAACATTACATGAACGACATACATGTAAACAAGTATGTACATTTGTTGTAAAGCACAGGAATTAGCAATTGACTAAGCAAAAAAATAAATAAATTTGATGGAAAAGAATGAGTTACAAGTTACAAGGTATTTGGTTCATCTATCACTTGCACAAATCTTATAATATCCTATCCTACTAGTCTTAACAGGTGATTTTCAGCAATGAAATTAGGGAAAGAATTATCAAGCAGGAACACATTCACTTTTGCCAATTGAGTTGAAGCATATATACAAGTCAGAATTTTATACATTGAAAGAATCTGTTGACCAACAAGTTGCTCTCTATGATTGGTCTGAATGTAAGGTGTAAAGGGTGGGTAGCCAATCAGGTACAATCTTGCAAGTAGCTTTGCAATTACTCACTCTTGCACCCACACACTGGATTTCCTCAATTTAGAATGGCTGTACCTCTCCAGTGAAATTAACATTAACAAATTGTGGTTTATTTTTAGACATTCATTGGTAGCTACCATTAATTAAGTCAATATTGAGGAAAAACTAAAAGGTTACCCACTCAATAGAAAATTAAAATTTTAGAAAAACTCTTAAATAGATTTTATTGCAAATCAAAGTTCATTCTTTGTATTAGGAAATTGAAGTAACTATAAAAAATAAAGTAATACAATGAATAAATGAAGAATATAAGGACCAAACCAAAATTGTATAAAATATGAATGACACTATGGTAGACATAAAATTCAAAGAATAATTGCACAATTGTATAATTGTAAACAAGTATGTACATTAGTTGTGAGGCACAGGAATTAACAATTGACTAATGGAAACAATCACCCAACAAAATAAATAAATTTGATGGAAAAGAATGAGTTACAAGACATTCGGTTCATCTATCACTTGCACAAATCAATACCCAAGAGGGCTGATTATTAATTTCATTTAAAGAGTTATTAATAGCATAACTCCCCGATCATTACTGTCCATGAGAGAAATTTCCATCTCACCAACAATTTTTAAAAGAAAATGCCTGAATTTGTTTCTTTGAATGTAAGAGTTCTGATACAATCAATAATTTCAAAGTTAATGTAATTGAGTATAAATTGGTGCTTTTTATAAAATGATAAAGACATCTCCTGGGGCACTTAACAGTGAGTAAAGGTCATGAAAAGACTGTGGCAAGACAGCCACCTTTGACATGCTAACAATAAGTACTGCCAATAAAGAATATATTTATTAATTATAGTTTAATATCATATTGACAGATATTCAATTGTATTTTAATTTATCAGAGATTTATGTTTAAAATAAACAAAGTGACTCCAGTAATACTGCTAGCATGCAATGTATGTACAATGTTTTCTATGCAGCTAGAATGAAACAGTTGACATTTTAGATTCTGCTAGCATGCAATGTATGTACAATGTTTTCTATGCAGCTAGAATGAAACAGTTGACATTTTAGATTCTGCTAGCATGCAATGTATGTACAATGTTTCCTATGCAGCTAGAATGAAACAGTTGACATTTTAGATTCTGCTAGCATGCAATGTATGTACAATGTTTTCTATGCAGCTAGAATGAAACAGTTGACATTTTAGATTCTGCTAGCATGCAATGTATGTACAATGTTTTCTATGCAGCTAGAATGAAACAGTTGACATTTTAGATTCTGCTAGCATGCAATGTATGTACAATGTTTTCTATGCAGCTAAAATGAAACAGTTGACATTTTAGATTCTGCTAATCAATTTGACATTCAAACAAATTTGCAAAATTAGCATATATATATATATATATCTATAGCAACAACAAAAAATCAAAACCAACAATTTAGATGCTAAATGCAAATCAATAAACAAGAATTAATGTTCATTTTAATTATTGTGCTTATTCAAAACAGTAACTTTGTACATAAAGTTCCAGAGCGGCTTATGTAAAGTCTTAATAATATCCCAGCTACTTTAGTGATGCTTTTAACCAAACCTGCATGGGGACAAGTATAGTTGATCTGAGGAATAACAGAGAACTGCCAACTTGGAAAGTTGGTAGCATGAAAAACCGCTCAAATGAACAACAGATATTTCTGTGTAATGTATTACCGCTCGTTGTTATGACTGAGCGAATGGCTTCCTTATTCTAAACATTTAGAAGAACTAATGAAATCATTGGTGAATAGCAACACACATACGTGTACACAGGGAGACAGAGGTCACCTATTATAGCATTTAGTGGTAGCCAAGAGACTGGATTCCATGTGACATATATTCGGTTAATACAAGTCTTCGGTTCTCATGACTGTTTTGAACTTATGTAGGGGTCAGTGTGTCCATGTGATAGTTAGAATAAATGGGAGGTCAGCTGTTGTAAATACAGGTGGTCTATGTCTTGGTTTAGTTTATATTTTATGTCTGATTGACATTTATATTATATTTTATTTACACTCATTCTTGCAAAAGTCATAGAAATATTGCCAAAATTAATATTGTGAATTCATTATCGCAGAATGACAATCACTCGAATCTTGCCAAATAACAAATTCTGTGAGAGATGTTGAGTGATTTGAATTGCTAGTAGATGCCATGCTACAATAAATGGTATTTTGAATGCTGTGTGGTTTTACTAGGCACTGTATTACATGTATAAGGAATGTGAATTTTATGAATGTCATTTTCAGACTGGATATTTAAGATGGACACTACAGACAGGTTGTGTAAAAGCTAGAGAAACACAGTAAATATGCATGTTTTATACTGAATCTTATACACAATTGTATTTTTTATTTTTGTTTTATTGATATATACTGATAGAAATGTGCATATTTTATGCACTCAAGTTACGGTATTATTATTACTGCATGAACAACAACACATAAAAAGGAGTAAACTGAGCATTATCTGTGATGAAACAGATCCCGAGTAGAGTTGAACAGTGGAAAAACTCTGATGGACCACAAACAAATACATCTAAGGTATACGAATGAACCTTCTATCATCAGCTTATGTAGAAAACAACAACACATACTTAATATATATTTAAATGCACACCGATGAAAGAAAGTGTTACTATTCAATATGGGCAATAAAACAACACAGTGCATTTTAAAAAACAATCAATATTATTTCCAGCATGCAGACAAACTGCTGCAGCTGCTATGGCAACAGCAGAATTTATATTCCCCCAAATAATCACTGACAATAAGAATCAACTATTTTATCGGTATCTGCAAAGAAAATGGCCTAGTGCATGTAATTGTGAAGCTGACCCAAATAAATATATTGTCAGTGGAAGCAACCAAACTAATTTAGTGTGAAGGTAATGTTATAGAATAGGACAGCTACATTGTCAATTCTCTATAGAAAGGGCAGCTAAATTAATGTAGTGCTTTTTTGTTGACTCAACATTGATGCATGATGTTGACTTAATAGAAATATTGCCACTGTGGACATGTTGGGAGTGAATGGGGAAAAGAGACGTTGTTGATAGGTGATCGGATCAAATACAGATCAACAAACATCCCTATGTTACTGAGTCAATAATTTGCAGTCTATCTACGACTTATTAGTTTGGAGAGAACTCAAACATACCTTCCCATAGCAGCCATGATGTTCAAAATGTCCGACTTTAGAATAAATTATAATAATTATTATACAAGGGTATAATAAATATTTTGTCAGTGTAAACTATTTTACATATTATAGTTTTATTAATATTGTTCATCATTGTATTATTAAACACAATATCAGACGGCACCCCCAAACCACACAATACATTTAAGGGCGTATAAACCTGACTGTCATTTGTATTATGAATAGAGTAAAAGCCGACAGCAGATCTTACATGTACTATAGTACCACAACTAATACTTATAAGACCCTGCAAACAGTAAAGTGCATGGCGATACAAAGTAAATCCATTAAGATTGACTGACATACCTTCTATCCTGGTTATTATTAGTCTGCGGATGACTGTAGTAAAATTTTAAAAAGCGCACAGGGCTTGTGACAGGATACATTTCCACCAGTAGGCAGATGATTATATACACACAAACACTGACTGTTTAGTTAAAATGAGTGGCAAGGTATCGGCAAATAAATCCATATAATAGAAGGCATTCGGAATCTATATAATAGAATGTGGCACTCTGACAATGCAACTGACTAGACTCAAAACATCCTAATAAATGGACATTTAAAAAGCTGCCTTTCATCAACCAAGTTTTTTTTTCACCATCTCCGAGCCATGAACTGTTTGTTGACAGTGTGTTATCCAGTCACTATAGACCACAAAAAGGGAACTTTTTTAATCCTGTTCTTCGCCCTGTCAGGCTAAGTATGGAATGTTCCACATCAAGCACATATGGGATGTGGTCAGCACATTCCATTTCAAAAGGGGGGGGGGGCAATTAGTATAAAATCAATAGAACACAATACATCAGCAAATTACTTTATATATCATTATATTCAGGGATCACAAGAAATACTTCAAGCTGTTTATGTTGTCTGGTTCTTTACAACCAACAATTGAGAGACACACAAGGAAGGAACCATTCTGAGTTGAAAGTTGAACTGAACAATTCTTATCCTTGAATGCACAAGGCTGCTGAAGTTCAATGTTCTTATTTTTAAATGCAAGTATAATTCATCAAATGGATATATAATAACACTTACTAAACATATTAACTAGATCAAATTAAATAATTTTCAACAAAGCTTCACAAAGGCGCCAGGTGGTAATCTACGCTCAGTCAATAACGTGACGAAATACAAAATAATGAAACACACTGCACTTTTACCGTAATGAAAACATAAGAAAATTACATGACTCTTTTTTTTTGGTATTACAAAAACAGAATTTGTAATTTCATC